AAATTTAACCCATAATAATTATTGCAATGTTATGCTCAATAAATTAATGAATTAATAATTTAGTGACTGGAAAAAAATTGTTTAAGAAGGGTAGCACATATTTAGCCCTCAGGCTCCAAAAATGTTCGGGAGCTTTTGGAGGAAGAAAAACCTTAGAACCCAGAGGAATACCCTCCGTAAAAGGACAAGAAGCAATGAAAAACTCAACTCACCTATGATATTAGACTGTAATTCAAACCTGGGACCATGTGCATCCCTGCTCCCTTCTAACTATCATTCATGCATTCAGATTTCATGCAACTAGCTCCTAACCTTGTTGCATCAGTAGCTTCATGTTTATATTATCAATGTCCTTACCATATGTTGTCCTCTTGTGGTTCTCGTTAAATGAAACTGAAAAAGAAATAGTTTGAGAACTGTTAACTGATGTACAGCTTTTATTTTTCATCTAGAATGGCTTAGTATTTTAAGTGAAAGTTGGTGCACAGTGTTTGCTGATACTGATTCCATTCTGGAAATTCCATTCCATATAAACCATTAGACCCCCCCCCCCGAAAGAAAAGTCCTGCTGATTGGTGTAAGATCGTGTTTCTATAACTTGCAATAGAAAATAAACACAGAACTAGTACGAGCTGCTGACGTAATGATAACACAAGCAAAGAGAATTTATATTACGATGATCAAAGTAACCAAGCTTTTTTTCGTTATTTGTTGCAGTATTTCCTAATAGAAAAAGAAAACATGTTCTAAGTGTTTCTATCGAGTTATAGACTTTGAAACATTTGTGAAAGTCTGACTGAGAGAAGTCGAAAAATCTGTGGGAACACTTACCTGTCTGCTCGTATTTCCACAGCATTTCTTGTTCTCCTAAACTTCCACTCATGTTTCAATAGCTAACAGAACATGGTTTCTATTTCTGCCAGATACATGTTTAATCACCTTCTTTGTCGACATCAGGATTGTATTTTTCAATAACTTCTTTCAATGCCTGGAACTTCTCAGTGATGTCACCAGCTTCAGACAATGGAGCATCGTAATCTACAGAAAATAAAACAGTGAAGACGGAAGTGAATTAGATCTACAATTCTTGGCAACTGAGGAATTTCAGTAGATTATAATTGTAAAACCTTATTGGGTTACTGCGGCTGTGCTTTATGTTGCAATTCTCTTGCTGATTCTTCATCAGGATTTATACTATATTGTACATATACCTTATTGAACCTTTGTGTCATGAGAGTTTTTGGACAATTGCATAAAACATCACAACTGAACAAAAGTGGCCAACTTAAGATAAGAAAAGTAATGAAGAAATGATTGATGATGGCAGTTATACACAAGTACTTGTTAACAAAAAGTGAGGTCTTGATGGGAAAACCTCAAACCAAGACATCGCTGTTTTTTACCGGGCGATAGCGAGGTCAATACGACAAAGCCAAGGTATGAGATTTTCCCATAAAGACCGAGTGAAGGAACCCTGATCACTAGGAGCGTGCAACTACCCCATATTCCTGTCATAGCGTTTTCACAGAGCGATCTATTTTTAGTTTGAATTTACCGCGAATTGAGAGCCCCGAAGAAACCTCAGTGACCAGTCACAAGCACAGACTTAATTCTTAGTTGACGTCATCATTTCACCGGAAAATTAAAAAGAAAAACAAGTATTTTTTTCCTTATCGATGTGCGCTCATATATGTAGACTGGAACTGATCGATTTCGCGGGGAAAGAAGCCTAAAAAATAGACCGGTCTGTAAAATTGCCGTGACATAGGCTTAGTATCGTAGTTGCACAAGCCATATGACAAAAGTTATTAGTCAAGTCCTAAATATCTCAGTTTGGAATTTACAACTTGTTGGCTTCAAAAGCATCTCAATAAACTTTTTTCACTGTTTCTGAATGATTTGTCACCTACATGTATTGATGATTACGCTTACCTGTAGCTTCTTAAGCCTGTTAAGATTACTGATCTCATCACTCTGGAAATTGGCAGTCTTCAGCGCTATTAATAATGTAAAGAGAAAAAAGTCGGAATGAAACTTACTCACAGGTGCTGGTATTCTTTCATAGCTATGAAACAACATATCACCTGTTCTTGGCGACTGTGGAGACTGGGTGGTTATTGGCAAACAATTGAGATCATTTGCTCTTCATTCCCATGAGGTTATAGATGATTTGGTCCAGAGCTTTTTTAATTAAGGTTAGCGTGTACCTTTAGAGTACCTTAAAAGGTGTCTCGCGCCCAAGCGATGTAAACTGTAGCGGTTTAAACTGTAGATACCTAAGCCCCGGCTATATCAAATTAAAGCTCATAGAGCTAGCCATCACACTATACCAAGAATTTTGAAATAAAATGAATTGTCGAATTTTTCACGACCTTTAAATGTGAGCGTGTGAATCATCTTTAGGGTCCCTTTTGAAACTACAAGTCAAAGGGAATTTGTTCGTTTGGCCTCAAATTTAGGCGGTAGCTAGTTTTTCAGAACAAGGCACAAACGCATTTGGTGGTTCATGTTTTCCTTCTCACCTCCTGGTAGCTCAGGATAGTATGATGCCTCCATTTGCCATACATTATCTGATGTAAACAACAGCTCTGAGATGCCTTCATTTATCATAAGCTGAAATGTTTCCACATCGTAAGTTATAACTACAAGAAAAGAAGTTTTCATTGCCTGCAGTAGACTTGTAAATAAAATGATCGATACATCCAGTACTAATACTCAAAAAATACTAAAAGTATCCTAATACTAAACATTACTTATTAGTAACGCGGAGATCTCTAAATGAGGTGGATGAATTCATTCTAAACAAGTCTGTTTAGCATCTTTTCGAGCTGATATGATTCTTTCATCTAAATCTATTCCTATAAATCAGAGGAAACCTGCAGGTCATGCACATCCCCCAAAAAGCAACAACTGGGAAGTCGCTAAACAAAATCCCTTCATCAGTGCAAATTACTTACCTAAAGTCACATTATTTATAGCTAAATAAAATTATAATTTTCCTCACTGTTTTGAGATAAGCCATGTATTCTTTGCTGAGATCATGTTCTTCATAGCTTAAACCATATTCATTTTCTACTTGAAATGCTATTATTGGACCACCACGCGAGTACTGAAAAATAAGCAAACAAAACCTCACAACATAGTGACACTCCAGCAATCACATAAGCTGTATTACTTTAAGAAAGGGTTGCTATGTTGAGAGACAAAGCATGTATGCTTCAGATGAAATGTTCTTAACTTTACAGAACATTAAAATGGTTGCCGTTTCTCAATAGGGTAAGGCTAAGTATGAAGGCGACATAATTTTAACAGTCGATAATTTCTGAAAACAAACTACATGTAACATAAAATGAACATATTTTACCACATCCAGTACAAACTAGGCAAAAAAATTACCTGAAGAGGGACAAGTATTGGAAGAAGTTTCTTGAAATATTTCTCAACAGCATGAATGTATGCAGGATACATAGACCTAAGTTTCATGTTGGGATCACGTAAGAGCCAGCTATGTTTAGGAAAACAAAGTGCACAAAATATTTCAAAATGCTGAAAACAAAGCATCACCATTCTCTTATGGCTTAAAACTAGTCAATATCCTCTAGGCAATATTATGAATAATAAATAATAATTTAATTATATAAATAATTGTTCCTTTTGGAAGTTTCCTGTTTTTATTGAA